CGTCTACTATTTGATGTCACTTTTTAAATACCGAGCGAATGCTTCAATTCTCTAGAGAATGGCGCGTGCGATGACCCTGGCTATGCAACGCGAGATTATGCGAATGCTTGCGTGCACACATTCAAGCCGCGCTGTTACGTTTGTATGGAGTTAGACTACTTGTTTTATTAATACTGTGGTGCAACTCAATAGATGTTGAAGACAGAAGGGTTTTAAGTACCATAATGTCTTTAAAGAGACTTATAAGTACGTACGTTAAAATTGAGTAAAAGGTTACGAAATTCGTACTTACCTCCCAAAATAAATTCTTTCGGTACTATAAAGAAAAATAAATGACAATATGACTAGTAATGGTTTATACATCTGTATAAAAAAACATGATGACTATATTTATATATGTGCTTAATTATTCCTAAACTAAACTACGTTGGAAATAAACAATTTTTTTTCGGATCTAAATCGCGTGTATCTGTTTTTTTTTTTCAAACAAACCAACGTTTCGCACTATGCACATCCCATGCTCATGGCTAACTGAGAATGTCGTCTAGTATTTAATGCAAACCTCTCTATTCTGCAGCTGAATTTTGATTGCCTCTCTCGATCGGAAACTGCGTCTTTTCCGAATCGAGGCGTATAATATTGCGGGTGGGCTACCCGATCGGATCGATACCGTTTTGAAATAAAATCAGGGCCATGAAACTGTGGTCACAAAAATTGTGGATTGTTACTAGATTATTTTTAATTTACCAAAAAAGCATTTTCCAAATTACGCTACGTAGGATTTGTAAAATATTTTAACGATAACCTTTTTTGTAAATAAATGGAAAAACAAAACAAAACTAGCGTCAGCCTCTATCTAGTATGACGAAGTCGATTCGTATCCAGCCAGATCGAAGAAATTTTTTTTGTGTTCGATCTTTGTATTAATAATTAAAATAAAACAAATTCACGAATAGTATTATAGTCTTATGTCAGCTAGGGATGTTTTCACTAGAGGGAGATACTGGAATTGAAACTGTTTGTAATTTACCAGTAAAAGGTCCACCTACGACAATTCCCAACGGTTTGCCTTAGAAACTTTTTCTCCAACCAAGCAATATGTATTTAACTATTACTTTAACATAGCTTCGTTTTATCTAAAATTTCACTGCTGGTATAATGCAATTAAGTAAATAATGAAAATTCAAAACAAACCGAGAGCCATCAACTTTTGCGCTATAGGAAACACCTCCTGCGCTGTGAATATGTCGCCTGTACAAAAAAAAGGTAATTGCCAATAAATATGTAATGCAACAGTAAAATTAATGTTTTACAGGAATATTATATATGAAATATGCTTGCCAACTTTAAGTGCCCGAAGTGGAGGATTCTCTTGAAGGTCTAAAATAAAAAAGTAATAGAAATTAATTTAATATCTCCATATACAGGGTTAATTTTGAAATGAAGACTTGTACTACATTATAAACAACAATTTTGGTTCCATGAATGAACCGTGAACATGTATGTTTGGTTTTCACAAAACATAATAAATTTACACGCATAAACGGTTAAGCTTCTGTTGTACATACTATTTAAACCGACTTCAAAAAAGGAGGAGGCTCTTAATTCGACTTTTTTTGTATGTACGTTACGCGATTACTCCGGGGAATTATTTGTGAACCGATTTTGAAGTTTTTTTTTTGTTGGAAAGAGAAGTATTTTAGGGGATTAATTCGGTTTCGCGCGCTTTCAGGTAACCGTATTCATTAAAACTAGGTAAATAGAGTAATTCCATGATCTTTCGAGGTCGGTTTTTTTAATAAAAATGTTATCTGTATTAAGGTAGTAAGTTCAAACATGCGAGCGTCCTCTCGACGCTTCTGCATTTTGCATAGGACTGGTATTTACTCTCTAGTGCTTTCTTTTGTGGCGCACCGAGTTACCACCGTTTAAAGTGATCAATTTAAATATTTTTATTTTGAAACGAAAGTAAATTTAATTATCCATCGATAATTAAAAATCATGAAACAAATACTCTTTATGATGTTAGTAATATAACCCTGGGAGGTTGTTAGTATTTTACAAACACCCTGTATATTATTCACTTAGGTAACAAGTTTCAATATATGTAGCGTAATTGCTTACCATTCTTATTCTCGTTGTCCGCCAAAACATGAATACAAACCTGATAAAAACGACTTCATTAAAAGCGGACTGTGGCAAATTATTGCAACAGAAAAAACAGACTAAAAAACTTCCAAGTCATTCATCTACATCTTCTTCGTCTTAGCTCATCTTTTATTCGGAAATTTTCCATTCAAGTTCGACTAATTACATATGCAGAAACATTTGTCAATTGCTTCATAATAATGTAAAATTAAACAAGTACTTACGTTTATAACAAGGAAGCCAAAAAAATCACAAACGGTTTGTTTCATTTCTTATAATCATAGCCCTCTTTTCTTAATCTAGCGACATAAATGTTGACTGATAGCTAGTAAAGGTCGTAACAAATAAATAATGGAAAAAATCATTCGCCGTATAATTTTATTGTGGAATGGTTGTAATAAACTTTTGTCCCATGTGCAGCGGAAATTGCAAACTGTTTGCTTATTACGTTTTCACTTACAACATGTAATGTTTTCACTTGCAACATATAATTTTGTAATGCAAAAATAAAAAAATATGTCAATGTTCTTGAATATTTATAAAAATTTTAAATTCCTCCTTGCTGAAGCGTTGTATTTATTAGAAGCAGAAGAACTAGCTGTGAAAGAGTTCGTCCAGGGAAGTACTGTCGCCTTACCTATTTCTGCCGCCAAGCCGTAATTGGAAGGGTAAGGGTGCTGGTGAAATTACAGACGCATGGGGACTTGACAACTTATGTCTCAGGGTGACAGGCGCAGTGGCAGTGCCCCTAAGATCTTTGCGATTTAAAGCTCTGAATGGCACTGCAACTGTTATGAATAGGCGTGTGGATTATCACCAGCCACACGACTTGTTCGTCCCGTCATTTGGTATTATAAAAAAACATAGAAAATAATAAAATGTTTAGTAATTAAAACGATGCAGGCAATAAATGTTACGAAATTAACAATAATGTTAATGAAATATTTGGGAAATTATTACATTATTATTGCTTTATTTATAGGGAATTTTATAAATTGACAAAAAATAACAAAAAGGATTTGTATGATATAGTATAAATTATATATTGTTTGCAAATATAATGGTATACGTAGACATTATATAGACATTACATAACTTTATAATTTTGATATATTTTTGCATGTACTCTTGTTTATAATATATTGCATGTCTGAAATGGTTAAATGTTTGCCATCTAGAATTGTGAACTTACTACATTTAAAGCAATAAATGAATTGATTGAAATGGACAAATGTTGTCGCAGATAAAGTATGTCCCGTCCAAATTATGTCAATTACAGCTTAGTCGTCATTCAACTGAGCTTCTGTAGTCACATGTTCATTAATGCGCAATTGAGCCATTCGTTTGTAAAATTGTAATTTTTTTTCTGGCGACCAGGGTTCATCCTAAAAGTTTGGAATACATCTCGATTATTATATTTGTAATATGTTATTCGAAATACCGCTTGGTTAAAAATGGAAAATCTTACCGCCGTAGGTCCGCCCAAACTCATAGCTGTTGTCGTATCGGCTACTACAAAATGTATTAAATTTAATATCCCACACACGTGTCTGTAGATTATGTATGGTATTATGACGTTAAGCCTATTTATACATTCATATGAAATGATTTAGTTCACTGGGGAGTGTAAATTTTGTGTAGGGTTTAGTGGTGACCAATAGCAAAACTGCCGCAAAATGTCTACGGTACCCAAAGCTCAGAATACTATTTAATTAATCATGAAAACACTTGAAAACTTTAAATTCAGAAAACAGAGGACATTAAATTTATCAATCTATATTTTATGTTATTATAATTAAAATAAAATATAAACTCCTTGTTGAAGAGTTCGTCCAGAGAGGTACTGAAACCTTTCTTCAGTCGCCAAGCGGTAATATGAGCATTACTGCGTTCTTTTTTGAAGGGTAACGGTGCTGGTGAAATTACAGGCACACGGGACTTGGCAACTTATGTCTCAGGGTGACGGGTGTTATGGCAGTGCCCCTCACTCAAACTGTTATGGACAGACGGAGATGATCGGAGCATCGCGGCGCATTTCTCGTTGCGTCTCCGAGCATTGAAATTTATAACTTATTTCAATTGCAACAGCATAAAATATACATTGATAACAATTTTGACCCTGACTAGCAGTCCACCGGTTTGCGCTGGCTCTTAGAGTATTATTACTTGTATAAAAGAGTAAAAGTACACGTTTGATACATTACATTTGTTACGTGATCCCGAAATTACTTTATTGAAGTAATCTTGCACATTTTCTTGACCTGAGAATCTTCGGCTTGGCATTATTAGGTGAACACGTTCGACTGAAATGTTGTTATTACATAATGTTTAAAATTTTATTGTCATAGATTACCGCATGAGCAAACATTGCTTGTACTGTATGAGCAAACATTGATAAGGTATAATCTTTAATAAGAATTAAGCTAGCGCGATAGACGACCCGAATTTCCTTCAAGGAGCGGATTTGGACCCAAAACTATCTTTTGAAAAGACACCATGAATAATGGGACGAAAACAGATTCATACTACAAAATATTATCGCAGATAGGTTATTTTAACAAGTATACAACGTCTCCTTTTTACTTACTTATTTTTTCTACCTCTTCATCGATTAAGTTTATTCCTACTGAAAACATTAACAAAACAAAATTAAGGAAGTAAATTTTTAAAGTTACTTATTAATATTTTTATTAATGCTGTAAGCACATTGTTTCTAGCACTTACTCATTTTTCGAAATTCTTTATAATGTGGTTCGTGTTCAATCTCTCTATGTGGAAGTGATATTTCTGAGAAAAAAAAACCAATCGATTTACTTGTAAAGGCATGTATTTTTTTTAAATACTAACTTCTTCCAATGATATCCTTTTTTTCGATACAAGTGCTTGGGTAAAGACTTGTCCCTTATATCTTTATTCAACCGATTTTCTATTAATAAACGTTTCGCAACCAAATTAACGTTTCATTATATATTTTATTTACTTTTTTTTACCACGTGATAGAAATAACTACTATCGCTTATTTACTTACCGTGCGGCCGTATCACAAAGACCTTACGACTCTCTTTCCAGACTTCGATTCGGTACTGCAGCTTTACAGCAGAAATAAATACATTGACAAAGTTTAAAATATTGTGATTGTCTGCGGCTTTTTAAAAAAAATTGATTTTGATTTAGTACCAGAGCTCTGGAGAGAGCTTTTAGCCATAGCCGTGGTGTTGTATGGCTGGCGACACACTTAACTGGAGAGTCGCCAGAGCCTAGTTTGTTATCTCAGCGCCATGGTCGGCATTTATCGTGTCTATCACATACCCAACGTGTAGATACGACAGCGAACAAAAGCCGTAGACGACGGCATGCGAGTTGCGAGCCTAAAATGGAGATGGGCAGGATACGTTGCTAGGCGGGACGACGACCGATGGAACAAGGTGGTTACTGAGTGGTACCCGGTAGGAGCGAGACGCCCTCGAGGCAGACCACCTGCTAGATGGTCGCACGATATCATTGGGGTGGCCGGAAGACTGTTAATGAGACTCGCACATAATCTATTGAGCTGGCGTGCGAACGAGGAGGCTTATAGCCAGCAGTGGGTGTTAACGGACTGTGATAATGATGATGATGAGAGCTCCTTGTGAGTTTGTTCAATGAAGTATAGCCACCATACCTATTTCTGCCGCCAAGCAATAATGTCAGCATTACTGCGTTCCAGTTATGAAGGGTAATAAGGGTGCTGGTAAAAGAGCAGGCACATGTTAACTTTATGTCTCAGGTGTCTTAGGGCACACTGGCAGAGCCCATCAGATTGCCATTTGAAGCTTTAAGTGGCACAGTAAGTTATGCATAGGCGTGTCGTTTGCCAGGCGCACTTCTTCGTCCTGTCTCTTGAAATCGTTGAAAAAAATTAACCGGGCTCGTAAAAGGTTTTTAGGTTTTATGACGTAATAGGGTTGTCACTGGAGTATACTAGTAACTCACCGTCCGTAAAGGCTTTTATGTTCTCTGTATCACATTGTTCTCTTACATGACATGAGCGAATGTCTGCGTCCTCTTTGCAATGATACATCCAGCGGCACTTAGAATTTTTATCTGTAATGAAAACAAAACATTTCGTTTTAATAAACGATATTAAAATTTTAATTAAGTTTCATTGAATGTCAGGATGTTTCACCACCATGATATTCAATTATTTTTGTGAAATTACTTCACTAGTTTGTTATAATTATTAAACAAAAATCGAACACTTACAGAAAATTCCGGATCCGGTTGGATTCTAACCACCGCAAACCGTACCAGACGATATGCCAACTAAGCTGCGGAACGAACCAACGGCCCTTACGAATCTTTCCATATGTTTGTTGCAGATCTTTGTTTTTGGTTTTTATCGAGTTGTAGTGGCTCGCTTCGCTCGTTCGAATCGTGCTGCTTTTTCATATACTAACCTAACCTAAACCTGCAGGAGGCGGTCATACCGTCTAGGTAAAGCAAACAAATTCGGCTCTGGACCTCGCCGGCCGCTGCCGCGGCACTATCGCTTCGCTCGCTAGGCTCTTTTCATGTATTAACCTAACCTAAACCCACACCATTGTTTTTAAATTATATTTCAGATGACAGCAAAAACATAGCACAATGGTATAACGAAAATTACGTAAGTGGACTTGCTGCACCAACAAAGTACAGTTCAGAATTTTGGAGCTGTCCGGTAAAATAGTATGGCGGTACAATTTTATCGTGTATGGCGATACAATTTTATCTAAGAAAATTAATTTTGCCGAAACGAATTTTGAACAATCTAAATGTATGGAAAACAGACAGTATAACAAACATGATTAGACCAAACAAACTTCTGCCCAAAGAATACGTATGTGTAATAATTATTCTAATAATAGGTTTTCGGACAAACCATACTTCTGCTGTAAGACATTTCTATGTTGCAAATTTATACCAAAACTGTCATCGCACTAATGAAAAAAGTCGAACCGTTTTCGAAGTAATAAAATTCGGAAAAAAGAAATTCGAGTTTGTGACAGGTTACACTTTTTTTACAATTTTGTTTATTTCATTCGTAATCCAAGCTACTTAAATTGCTACAATAATTTTTATCTCATTCGCATTACCGTTGATGTCTTTTTGTAATTCCAATAATAGACAATAGTGACCACTGTTGGCCTTTAAGGATTTTTTGAAGATTATTTGTAACTTTCTTATTTACCCAAGGATTTATACCTAAACATATTTAATTTACCAATTTTTGCTTGACCTAATACGTACAATAAAAAGGTAGCAATTTTGATCATCGTTATCACTAGCGGCATGGAATTAAATTTAAATCCTAAGTTTTAATTAAATTGATGAATATGAATACCTCATAAAGGAACAAAGAGGTTTCGTGTGAAAGGGCTGGTCTGAATAGATGAGTCAAAAAAAGTAGGTATGCCAGAATCGTAGCCAATTTAAACCCGCAGCTCTGTTTAATAACATGTAAATATATGTAAATTATAAAGTTATTACGTCGATTATAAGGATCCTTAGTAGTGAGTTCCGGCATTTCTGTTAGCTGGTGATGCATAATAGGTGACTCAATCGCACTTTCTGAAAAGACAATTAACTTCTTCTAATTGAAAACTCTTCTTATTACTCTTTGGAAATGGAATTATTTTTCTGATCAAAATCGCGTATATTTGATTTTTCAGACAATTCAACGTTTCCGTTCCTTTAAAGGTCACATCTGACTGAGATGTAAAGCGCCCGAAACGTTTTGGTTTGTTTGATAAAACAAATATACGCGATGTTAATACAAAAAATAGTTTCATTTCCAACTCAAGAGTTTAATTATTGTACATGAACTACAAATAGTGACAAAATTAAAGTGTTAATGATGTCCAATTTAGGGCAATTGAGGCACATTTTCAATTGTTCTTAGACAAATTTTAGCCTCATTCATAAACGTTTTGAACGTCATTGATTTTTATCCCTCCTTCTCAAATTTCGACTCTAGTCAACATGTTTACACGCATCTGTTTTAGCATGCTTGTGTCGGCTATACCAACTTTTTGCCCATTCTCTCGTGAAGCGAGCTTTTAGCTCACAAGTGGATGGCGGATTTCATATAAGAAAATGGGAGTTTTGATCTATCTATCTATACTATCTGTATTATTACGCAAAATAGTCGCAGTATACCTTGTTATCTTTTGCCATGTATCTAGACTATACTCCATAAAATATAGCTTGATTAGAATAACAAATGTCAAACTTTATGAACTAGTGATGGGACACGATTAGTGAAATGGAGAATCTGTTAAAATACATCGACTGAACCAAAACATATTGAAATCAGTATTATAATATCATGGCAATCAAATCAGTATTATATTATCTGAAAAACCCACGAATCATGGCGAATGGGCGTGGCGTTACTATTTAACCAAGCATTGCTAAATAATAACATACTTTTATACATTTGATAAAAATATTCAAAACAAAACGTGTAATAAAAAAATTAAAATCAATTACGTAAAATTTGTAAAATTACCGCCAAAGCAGTTCTCGACTGAATGAGTTGATGGACTCTGTGTTTTTGACGTATTCCATCATAAACTTTTTTCCATCGGACGTGACTTTATCATGTAAAATTGTGAAAATAAACATTAAAAATATTTCTTAGTGAATTAACAGTGATTTATCAATTATTTGTGGATTTCATTTACTGTACGTTAATTAGTGGGATCGTAAATATATATAAAAGGTATTGTTTTGTGGCGTTTAAAAAAATTGTAGGACGCTGCTATAAATTTACGTCGTCCTAATTTTGCCGACCTGTCTAATCAAGCAAAATTTTACCGAGTATAATAGTTATAAATTTTACTCAATGCTTTTTTTCTCTTTCCCTTCTGATGATTTTCCAACATTTTATTGAATTGTTCGGATAAATACGTTGGAGGTTTTTCTGTCATCGACGGTGGATTGTGCAGAGGAACCTTTTTCAAAAATTTTCGCACCATTTGTTGTTTCTTCGGATTTATTGCTGTAATTGTAAAGATACATATTTTTGTGTAAATGTTTACAGCTGTAATGTGCATATAAGGGTATTTGGCTCATATTTTTTATCGCATTAAAAAACTTACACGGACGTGATGAAATTGAATCTATTAGTTTTTCGATTTCTCAACTTTTCACCACAGAATGTTTAAAGTTCGCTGTCCCAGCAATATGACCTTGTGATCGTTACATATGAATGTGTGATGATTAGAGATCAGAAGAAATATAGCATATTTACTTCGAAAAAGTAATACTCGCAGTTGGGGTGGCGCCTCCCTGAAATCCTGGGATTATTATATTATTGTGTTTTGTTTTATATTTTTGATGAGTAAACGCCATTGCTTACGATAGAGTATTTAAAAGCAAAAAAATTGTAATTATAACCAATAATAAAACATTTTGATTCGATTTTGTCTTTTTTTTTAATTCCGGGAATTCAGTGGAAGGTACTTATTCACTCTACGTGTATTACCTGAAGCTTAAATAAATAAATTTATACCAAGCCTGTTTCGGTCTATGATAATTCAAGAGATGAAGCCAATTTATGCTTTTTTAAGATACCAAGGATGGGAAGAACTAGTCGTGCGCCTGATGGTAAGCGACACGCCTGTTCATAGCGATTGCAGCGTCACTCAGAGCATTAAATAGCAATTACGTGAGATGCACTGCCATAGCACCCATCACCCTGACACACAATTTGACAAGTCCCTTGTGGCTGTAATTCACCACCACCATTATCATGATGAAATGAAGTAATGCTCACATTACTTCTTGTGCGCTGATGTAGGTAAGGTGACAGTATTATTGTTATTAACTGCCTCCGTGGCCGAACGGTTACCATGCCGGACTGCCACGCATAGGCCCCAGGTTCGATTCCCGGGCCGGGAGAAATATTTGTATGGCCTACATTTATTTCTCTCGTGAGTTTGGGTGTAATTTGTGGTTGTCTATGTGTGTGTCCATGGCACCCGCGACACAGGGTTTACCTAGTGCGGGGCTATGTTGAGTGTGTGCGTTATTATTATTATTATTATTATTAGTATTTTCCTGGACGAAATCTTTCACAATGAGGTCTACTTCTACTAAAAATATATATTTTTAAATATCATTTAATTTCTAATATTTGTCAAATACCCTACTGAAGAACATTTGAAATTTACCTTTGGTAGCGTTTGCTTTTTTTGTTATCAATGTATGTATACTCTCTTTGTGAAGTAAATAATGTTCAGCCTCTTCAAGGTCTATACGGGGAAAACACAAATTCATTAGATGGGATTTTGCGGGAATATGTTAAGTTATTGAAGTTAATACGACACCTGTCATATTATTTAGCTTTGAATAGTAATTGCGCCGTTGAATTGATTCTTTGCCTCTGAATTTGACAGCTGGAAAATGAGAAATGCATTAAGTATTTAGTAAGGTACGTTATTTACAAACGATGTGACTCTATTTGGGCCATCTATGTACCATCATCTATTGAATGTGGTTAAAACAGCCAAAACAAATTGGCACAAAATGCAGACATTGATTTTTTTTTTGAGACACAATGAGTAGGTACTTAACATTAAAAAAAACTTTTTTTGGGGACATAATAAGTAGACCTTATAAAAAAAAACTTACGTTCACCGCAGATCGCTAAAGCTTGCAAGGCGTCCAATATGTCTATATCCACAGCTAAAAAATAAATTTTGTAACTAGAATAGTAATAAAATGTAAGGTAAAATAACAGACCGCAATTTCAGCTCGGACTTACCTCGTAGAATAGAGAATCTTTTAGATTTTTTAACTAAAACAAAACTTCATGTTATTGTACTGGAAAAGGTACAGTCAAGAGCACGTCACACTTGATACTTTGGACCGTTTTTATCGCAAGTTGTTGAATTTAAATTTTAAGTCCCAAGCTTGACGTCCTCTTGAGCCTGTTCGTAAAGAAAAAGATACATACGATGAAATTATGATTTAAGATATGAACACTCACAAAGAGCTTGAAATAGTTTGTCACAAAGATCTTCAGCATTTCTTGCTCCACTGACGATTCCTCTACCACCTGACATCGGAAAATATTTTTTAAATGAAACTTTCCGGCTTTGAATCACGTATATATTTGTATTTTCAAACAAACTAACGTTTCGGACCCTTTACATGTCCTATGACCACAGTTGACTGAAAAAACAAATATACGCGATTTAAATCCGAAAAAATATGTGTAACAATCGCGAATACCTCAGAAGTCGATATATTTTTAAAATTTTTCATTTTCCTTTTTCAATCAACACGTAAGATGCGTTAATAAGATGTCTAAAAATATTCAATGGGCTCTATGAAACAGTAGTTATCACAATTTAAAAAAGAATAATATTAAAACATGAATAGGTCAAAATGACATTCCAAGAGTTGTTTGTTGTGCCCATAAACACCAACTTTGCCGTTTTGACATAATAAATATACCAGAGGCATGAGAGCAAATTTGTAATCATTGAAACGTAACTACCGCGTTTGCGTTAAGATTTTTATTTAGATCTTAATTATGTACATACAAGTTTTAAATTAAAATATTAACGTAAATTTACATATTTGCGCGAATCCGAGAACGGACGGTCCGAAATGTCACAGGGATCATTTTATCTCTAGGTGTACAAGCGATATTCCTATTTTCTTGCATTCGAATTGGACTTGGAGTGCACAAGCGACATCCAAAATGGGTCCGAGTTTTCTAGATTTGTGTAGTCACGGAATCGGATGCAGTGCACAAATGCACAAACCCTGGTTAATGAAATATTCTTTATTGCACTGTCAACACAGAACAATAACATATCTACAACAGAACAACCTATAATAACTGGCCGCATAAATCTTCCAAGCAATCTTAGGACAGAAACTTAGGAGTTTTAAGCTTGTAAATTCTGCTCTATCTATCATCTTTACCGTAATTGAGTTATTAACAAATATCTAGAATTATAATATTAACGCAACACACTCATAGCCTCGCACCACACATAGACAACTATAAATTACACCCAAACTCACGAGATAAATAAATGTAGGCCATACAATTATTTCTCCCGGCCCGGGAATCGAACCCGGAACCTCTGCGTGGCAGTCTAGCTTGGTAACCGTTTGGCCACGGAGGCAGTTAAAAAAGAAACAGTTCAATAAGCGAAACGAGCAGTTTTTTTATATCTAATTTACTTTCATTTTTATTGTTCTGATTATGACAGGGAAGGCAGAATTGGAAATATGAAAAAGTAATTGCTTTTTCGAAAATTGTGGTATTTACTCACGCCCCTTATTTAGTGCTGGAATTAAAGATTAGTGTTAATCGGACACTGATTCATTTCAAATAACAAACATTATGTGAAAGAACCAACCGTGATTGATAAGTTTACTAGCAACAGGCAGCAGCTCGTGAGCGGTAAAGAAGTCACCTATGGGTTAAATTTAATTAAAACTTTTTCTTTGTACACGCGCTAAAAAATAATGTGATGAAAATTAACGAGATGTTGTTTAACGTGACGCCATCATTAAATGGGAATAATAAGGCTAAGGAGAAAAAGAGAAAGACAGATGACAGAATTGTTTAAGGTGAATTAAAATGGAAGGAAATTAATTTGCTACTCCGTGAGCCCAGTGAACTCACCCTCCTACTGCGTAAATAAATACCACAGGCGCAATAGTCACAAACACCACCACTAAAAATATATCCGACACGTGTTTCGCCTCTCTACGTGGCATCCCCAGGGGTTGTTGATATTTCGATATTCGGCCGAAGAAATTTTCTTAACACCAAGTAAAGTAACGAACGCCTGAATCTATTAATTATTTATGATGGTCATAAAACTTGTCTAATAAAATATTCTGAGCCTATCGATCAAAATTTTAGCAGCAATTCTAATTCATTTATTTGTTGTTATTATTATTTGTGAAAACACAGGTTATATAGAAGCTGACATGTACAAAATAAGTATTCACATATATAACATTTCAGTTTCACTGTGGTCCGGCCAAATATTGGGCATGCAAATATTGAATGTATATGATGCATTCACTCACATCCACTTCGACAGATTAAACCAGGTGTAAAATGTTTCTTTTTCATTAACATTACTTTGATATTTATATCAACAAACAACGAAAATGAAACTATTTTTCCGGATTTAAATCGCGTATATTTGTTTTTTCAAACAAACCGACGTTTCGGGCCCTTTACAGGTCCCATGGTTGAGTCAACCGTGACCATGGGACCTGTAAA